CACCCTCTACTTAACCTCTTACCACCCCCCTCCCCCCACCCCTTCCCCCTCCCCCGCCCCACATATCACCCCGCCAAACCCCAATCACAACCCCAACACCAATCCCAACCCCTCTCTCGTTCACTCTCGCTCTATCTCCCAATCCCTCCCCCCTCCGCCCCCACGACCACAATCCCAACGGCGCCCATCGGCCCACTTTCGGCCCACGAGCGACGAGCAGCAATATCGCGAGCGGACACTGTGTAACGAAGCATAATGGATCGGCGCTGGTGCCGTGGCTCACCGAACGGACCACCGATCGCCCGGACCCACGCGGCCCTTAATTGAGAGCGCGCGCATTAACGACGTAATTGCGCTGTCGCATTATTCGGTGAGGCCGCGATCTCGTTATCTGTGGGGCAGAGTGTAGGCGAGGTCACTTAATAAGTACTTAATAAGCCCGATAAATACCCCCATACCCGATACCATGAAAATGTCCATGGTTTTACGGTCCGTCCTCTAGCCACGCCAAACGATGCTGCATCGATAATCTTTTGCGGCTCGCGGATCGTTGCTGCAATGGCCTCTATGCCTATTCAATACGGACGATTTAATTGACTCGCTCGCTCTTATCTCCAGCTGCTATCTAATTTCAAGACGAATGGCCGCCCGACTTTTTCATCTGGGCTCGGACCCCGGTTTTATGGCTTTGTAATTTGCTATAATTATCGGCCGCTACGCAGATGACGACGTATTCGCTCGCTCGTTATCGATCACGTGCTATTTCAAGCATATTTCATTTAAGAGTTACGAACAATTTGAGCAGCTGGATATTGTTTTGGAGGTGGTACACCATTCTCTCTTCTTGTCTTTTCATTCCTTTATCCTTTTTCCTGCTTTTATTCTCGGCTCTTTTTTGTTTTTGATTGCTGTCCTCGTACACGAGCCCCTCGCAATGGGGGTTTTACGCTTTTGTTTGTGTTTTTGTTTTTGCAACGGGATTTCACCTGTAAGCACTGTGTCGGTGGTCAAAGGAATCGGCATCTTTTATTTATTTTTTTTTTCTTATTTTTTCGCAAATAAAAATTTGATTCTCTAAGTATGTGGCTGGTGAAACGGCGGCGTCCTATAATAAATACGGTTTATTATCTAAATTAATTGCCTCGCTCGACAGCGATCTTTGGCTCGATCAAAATAAAATTCTTCTGAATTTAATAACATTATCGCGTAAAATTTAAGTACTCTATCAAGATGTTACCTTTTTTTTTATCTTATCGATCTCCCTTCCGCAAATGGCCGATATTTAGTTTCGCACTTATAATTCGGAAAAATATTAATTGCAAATCGGAAAGGGCAATTGCATATCTTGTTGTAGTGCTTAAGTCTTAATTGTCGAATTTACTTTGGTTAACTAATGGTTGGGAAGAGACGTTAAGCCTCAAAGATTTTAAATACAAGGCAAACGACGCGTTCTTTACTGCTGCCATTGAACATATAGACATTCAATATTGGCTGTAATGACGATCGTAAATACTTTCTAGGCATTGTTTTTTTGCTTTTATTTATTTTTTTTTTTTCATCATCTTTTGTTTCCTCGAAGCCTTTTGCCGTTGCCGTCGGCTTGAAAGCAAGAATCTCCGTGGTGTTCGTTTCATATTATTATAGGCTTCGATTAATCAATGCAAAAATAATTTTTCAATTCGACATTTATATGATGATAATTATGTAATTTACTTGTGTATATCGACTTGATAATGATAATTCTCTCATTGACCAGATTTGCGTTATCTGTAATTTAATAGTGACGAAAATATGATTTTCACAAATTGCATGAAGTTGCGTTAGCCAAAAAAAAAAAAAAAAACAAAAATAACAATGAGTCGTGCCATCAGAAATAAATAATTAAATAGAAAAAAATATTCTGTAAGGTGCTCGACTAGCAACGAATTAACGCGAGCCAACGACGTTTCTGCAACTACCTTACTCTGCCATATTCGGAAAGTTGGTCGCTTTCGGAGTCGATTAACTAATTAATTACAACGTAATTATTAGAGTGTCGTCATACATTTACTTGATTCAAATGTTTTACTTTTTTTTTTTTTTTTTTTTTTTTTTTTTTTTTTTTTGTTCACTTGTGCCAAGACAAGATATGAAAATGATGAACCAAATATTTCGTGAAATATCATCAAAGTATACGACATTAATACAATTGCCCATTCCGCGGTGAACCTTCATATTGAATTCTTCGTAAACTTTGCGTTAAGTTTCTCTTGGAATACTTGGACAAGGTTGACACAAAGTTCAGGCAAATCTAAACTTGGAAAACTATGGTATGCGGAGCATAGCATCTCACGAGCTCCCACGACTTACACAAACACACAATCCACGCTATTCCTCCATGGTATACAATTGTAAACAAAGGCAGTAACGAGCAAACTTTTTAAAAATACTGTAAACGAAATGCGTCGTATTTGAGGAGATATTTGCCGAGGATGGCGTATCATATCTGGCTACACACCGCCAATAAACCAAAGTCAATTGGCTTTTTGAAACTCGTCTCGTGAATCACCGTCCGCACCGCCTTCACCTGTACTTCGAACTCGGAAATTTTCGCAAACGCGCGTTCTCATGGGCTTCTCCGGAGTTGATAAAGTAGTGCGAAGGAAGGAAGAGAGTCGTAGCAGCGGCATTGGCGAATAATCGTCAAGTTGAATGGCCTCGTGAACTTGATGGTAGAGACCATTTCTTCTTACAATTTCTTCTTATCTGAAATTACTCGCGAGGGATGCCCGAAGTACGCACCGATGAAGTGTAACGAGGATAGAGAATCGAGCATTGTTGCTCGAGCCAACTCCCAGCCAGTCTCGGCCTAATATACCGGGAGAAACGGCTTTTCCTTCGCACTGCCACGTCGCTCCACATGCTCGTCGCGCAAATGTGCGAGCCGGCGTATCGGCCCCGATCTCATGAGTTCGCATCAATTAAAGAGAAGCAACGGGCGCGAGAAAGTCGCGAGAACGCGAAACAATGAGCCGGAGGGAAAAAGGTGTAATAATCGGCTTTAATAATGTAGCTGGCGATGGCCTCGGCGAGGAGGAGGAGGAGAGTCGTACGGCACTCGCCAGCACCGACCGAGTACCACGCGCGAAATCGCCGAAAAGTAACGTCCGATCCCCCGGCGTCATTTTAAGTTGTCCAGCGCCCTGACAAACCATAATCCCATCGATCTCGAAACTTTTTATCGACTAGCATAACGGTAAGGTTTATTACCTCTTGGCCCATTAAAAGCACGTAAAAACGGCTCCTTTTCGAATCGCGTCCAAATCCACGTTAGCGCGAAAAGAGAGGGTGAGCGGGATGGAGAGGGGGTGGAGGATGACAAGGAGGAGATGGCCCCACGATCCTGCCGAGTTTATTATCTCGGCGAGGAAAAACGCTGGAGCGTCATCGAGCAAACTGGGGCGTTCACCTTACTTAAACAAAACGAGATATCGTTGTCGGCGATCTATGGAGAAAAAAAAAAACAAAACAAAAAAAGAAAAGAAATGAAAAGAAAAATGAAAAAAAGTGAAATTCCAGCGATTGCTGGGGGAAACGGAGCACAGCCAAGTGATAGACGGGGACAGGCCAGACAGAGAAACACAAAAAGCCCCGCCGTCTGAGGCAAGTCCTTGTGGCACGATGGCGCCCGCCGGTCCATTGTGATACTTGCACTCTCACTTATCTACTCCCCTCCCCCATCTCTATATATATATATATATATATCTCTATCTCTCTCTTTCTATCTATCTCTCTCTCTCTCTCTCTCTCTCACACACACACACACACACACACACAAAAGCAGCAGTAGCACCTATCATCCCACCACCCGGCCGTCTCTCTCGCTTTATCTATCCATCGCTCCTCTCTCCGATCGCGCAACTACTTGTCAATTAAATGAAATCAAGTCTCCTCGCACACACTTACGAACCATCACCATCGCGTCTAAATCGCTCGCTCTATCTCGGCTCTCGCGAGCACGTTTCCTTTCTCCTCGTCGACCCGCGGGGAGACCGGCAGCGCGAAGACGTCAACGAGTGAGAGGCTCGATTGGCCGGGTGAGAAAGTGCGTGCTCGTTTCTTTCCTGCCAGCCACTCGCCGCTTCATCCCGCCGCGGTCCCTCTTCACTCTGACCTCCGAGTTGGAATTCCCAAGGGCGGAGGGGGAAGGCGGTATCGCCGCGCTAATCCTTATCGAGCAATGGGCTGTCTGTCGCGCCTTGCACCCTGCGATCCCTTGTACGATCCCAGGGGGAGCTCTCGGCCGAGAAATGCGAGGCTCGGATAGCGCCTATCTCCAGCCCCGGATAGCAGCAACTGTCTTGGTAACTGTGTTGGTAATCGCCGGGAGCAGGGAAGAAGTTGAGCCAAGTACTTTTATGCGATATTGATGATGCGAGCTGCTGGACGATCCCCGGTTATACGTGTCGCTAGATAAATACGACCTCGACGTAGTCACCTGTAACTCGACGTCGGCACTACAAACGCGTTCGATTCACGCGGGGGCGCATTGACCACGGGTGCGCCAGTTGATCGGAGTCGACCATAGTTCTGCAGAATCTGGCGAATGAAACACGGGAGGATAAGAATCATGTGTAATTGTTGATAATTGAGTTGGTAAAAACGATTGCTCGGTTATTGGTTTGAACAGTGGAGTAAGTTGCGCCAAGGCATCGCTCGGTCGTTGCTTGTCCAAGTTCATTGAATGTCCGATCGCCAACTCTCAAACTCTCATAAGATCGTGAATTCGCGGTGGTTTCATTCACGAGAATGAACGAGCGCTAATCGATAAATATTGAAGTGCGTGAACTTCTAGCCGATTGTTATGTTATAAATAAACGTCGTCGTCTTGCCTTGTTTAACCTTCTATTCCTTTTTTTTTTTTTTTTTCATTCATTTTAATTTTTTTATCACCCTGGCTGTTATAATTTATTCCCCGCTACTAAAACCTTCATATTTGTTTTTAACGTAAGCATACTTAGAAGAAAAAAAAGCGAATAAAGAAAAGAAGAGAGAGAGAGTGACAGAGAGAGAGAGAGTGAGAGAGACGGACGGGGGGGGGGACAAAGTAAAAACAAAATTAACTCTTAATTAAGGATGATGAAGTTTTTCTGTTTCGAACCCATAAAGATGGCGAGATTTCACTGTAATGTATCTTCTTCTTTTTCAAGTAACTGTGCGTACTTACCGGATTGCTTAAGATCTAGATTAACTTTTGATTAATTAGTATACACGTTTTATGGGCTACTGCCGGCAAGCCTACTTGTGTCTTCGGGTGATTCGAGATGTTTATAAAAACATATTATGATAATAATATTTCCTTAATCAATCTTAAATAAGAGTCGTAAAATTGAAATCCATTTAAACCGAATCAAAAGTGCCTCTCTATGTGCACGCGTGTGTGTGTGTGAGAAAGAGAAGCCTCGTTGAATTAACTAGCTTTCAAAATTTCATAACCAGATATTTGTTAATATTCTCAGTATTGTCATTAGTAGGGTCTATACGATATTTGTCTCAGTGTTAAATTCTTATACAATTGTTATAATCAATATATAATTGCTTTATTTTTTTTACGTTTTATTGAATTTTATCGAATGCTCAAATCATTTCCAGCTTTATTCATTTATTCTTTTAGTTATTATTATTATTATTTATTTATTTATTTAATTATTTTGTTGTTGTTGTTGTTGTTGTTGTTGTTGTTGTTGTTGTTATTATTATTATTATTTATTTTGTTGTTGTTGTTGTTGTTATTCTTCTTCTTCTTATTATTATTATTATTACTATTATTCACGATGTAATGCAGTAATTTTGGAAAATGTTCTTAAAGAATAGATATCGCTCGATAATTCTATCAACAATATCTTAACATTTGAGTATTTTTTTAAATTGATTGTAATCTCAATATATACTTGACGGTAACAGATCGACGCGTGGGCAAACGAGTTTCTAAGCCATAAAGTATGAACTGATGCGTACGTGCGCGTGCGCGACTCCATGTGCATGCGTGTGGGTATACGTAGTACTTTTATAATGAAATAGAAATATTGTCTATTATATCGGCCTCCTTTTGGTTATGCGATGATTTTTTTTTAGAGGTAATATTTTATTTGAAATTGTAAAATATAATGACGATAAAAGAAAATTTAAAAAAAATAAAAAATAAAAAACAAGAAAAAGATGTAATGTAAAGGACGTATGAAAATGTTGCGAGAAGAAACTTTTGCCAACCCATTATTATTATTATACCGAAAGAAAGTATAATCAATGTTTTTCGAACAGTAGGAATAAGCTTAATAAAAAGATGAAATTAACGTGTACAGCATTATTAGAAATTTGCCTAATTATAATAGGATCGTAAATTGCAATTGATTTTGTTCAAACTTCAAATTGTAATTCAAAATTATCTTCCATAAAAATGTTATTTAAAGATATGAGTTTGTTGCATTTTCTTCTACGTATATAGCAGAATTATTATTCTGCATTGTTAAATCCATTGTTCAGCAATTTATTTTTATTAATATTCGGAATATAAAATACGTACTAACAATACAATTTCCATACTTCTTTAATGCTAATTACAATCGATAATTAAAATTGTGTCTTACTCAATTATCAAGGATTAAAAATAAAAACATAAAAGTCCCATAATTTATACTAAGGCCTTGTTTCTTCTCTCCTTTTTTGTTTCCATTAAAAAGGCAATAATAGCATGTTGATTAAAAATGACCATATTACTCGATTGATGGGATAAAATGGGCTTTGCATTTCCTGGTCGTAGCCACTAGATTTTAATTTTATTAAGCTTAATAAATCGTATTAATTAATTTGCCTTAAAATTAATTTAATAATTTTTTTTTCCTTTTTTTTGCATAAGCTATTTGAAAAATATTCAGGCACGGCAATTAATTGTTCTTAAGAGATAACAAATGCTCGTATCGTCATGTACATGAGAAGTAATGAATTTTGTGTTCATAGGATTGCGCAAGCGTTCGAAAAAAAAAAAAAAAAAAGAAAAAAAATTCCTTTTTATTGTTTATAATCGATTATCATAACATGTTTCGGTTAAATTTCAATCTTCGACTCTACTTGGAACGATAATATATTCCGTATAATCAGTTATTCGGATCATCATTATTCTCGTGATTGTTTGAAAGAAACGTCCATGAGCATTGTCTTATAGCCTGTATCGCCAAAACTTCGATCTTCGATGTTTTGACCTTACGATAAGCCAAACATTAAATTTTATCGCACAAACAAGCACTGTTAATCGCTCGCTCGGATAAATATAGAAGACATAATTTTACAGTATTCGCACACTCATATATACGAATCAACCGACACACACTACCGTGCAAATACAAATAATTATAGGCGCGCGTTCAAAAGCTCCCCAGATGGGCTTTCGATAAAAAGAAAAACATTATTAGAGTACTTCGACATCGTTACGATTTGTAAAAATGTTGTCCTTTGACACGAGAGACGACTTTATTAATTATTTACACGATATGTTTTATTTACAAACTATACAGCATCTATTATCGTCGAAAATATTGTCTATCTATTTTCCTTTACTTCCTTTACTTCTCTTCCTTACGTTTCATTAACTCTAGTCAATGAATTAGACCCCGACATTTATACTTTTATAAAAGATAGTCAAACGAGATACGAATTACAATTTCTTATACAATGCACAGTCGTTGTAATGGCAGACGGAGACTTCTAAAGCCAATGCTTTAATCGAGCAAGAAGCAGCCATTATATGAAAATTTTCATATTCGCTAATGTCGTACAACGATAATAACCATCCTGCGTACAATAAACAACGGATAAACAATTCCATATTTCAATCTTGTACAATGTCGTTGCTGCGGAGCAATTAGATGCCATTGGCATTTAAAATTACACAAAGTGTTTACATTTACTCTGTCAATAACATACGCTAATTGTTTCAATAGCTGGCAAATATTCTATAATGTCGGGCATTAGTCCCCTCCGCAATTACTCTCTTTAGGTTTATTAGCACTCCATTGATTATTGAGTCATCTAAATTGTGAAAACAATTGAAACGCCATTTATCTCACTCTATAGCATTAATTGCAGTGGAAAACATGCCAAAATCGTGTCACAGTTAAGTGATCGTGCCGCGTCTCAAGAATCATTCGCGAAATAATTGAATGGTCCCGAAAGTGATTTTGTGGGCATTGGTGAAGGCCGATTAAATAAAGTCCCTTTGGACGACGGAGATCCATCGGAGATTAGCGATGTACGCTTGTCTCACAAAGAATCACCAGGAGCGCCAATTCAATTACACAATAAAACCATTCATCCGGCAGTTCGAGTACCGGCTTTCCTTATCTTCTGATATTGGTGCCCCGAAAGACGTTTGACACTCCTGTTCAGTCGAGTATTTCGTCAACAATTCCACCGGAATCGACCATCAAAGCCAAACAACCGGACGTTCGCACCCGTTGCCGCGGGCACCGATCGCACGTTTATCTAAGAGCTTGTAATGGGATAGGAGGTGGGAGAGGAGGGAAAAAACTCGCGGGTCCAAAGTACCGTAAAGTTCAGCTTCCCGCGGAGCAACATTCACGAGTCACCGGGAAAACTCGAGTCGGCGCCATCGGGAGGCCGATGCAATTAGTCGTCGCGTGTGTAGAACTGTCGTGCCCCCGTAAGTCTAAAGTCCTCCTCGCGCGAACGAAGCGAAACGGACGTTCGGCCGTCGGCAGCCAGTGTGACACAAAGGTGCCCGACGTGTAAGTGTAAACGTCAACTAAGTGCCAACGTTGTCCGCAGGCCCGTGAGGAAGGAGGCCACCTCGTCGCCGTCCCCGAGCACATGGGAGAGCTTCGCTGGACGTAGCCGGTCGAGCCGGAAACCCGCCCGGAGCCATGGTTATAGTCGTCGATGCGGGCCAGGACGGGAGCCGCCCTCGCTCCCACGGCTCCTACTTTCAGGTGAACGCGCTCCTGGCGTCGCTGCTCCTTGGCTTGGCGCTGGCCTCGCGCCCCGGCACCTGGATGTGAGTACAGCCTCCGAGCCACACACCCCCCCCCCCCCCCACACACCCCGCCCCC